GATTGTGTCTCACCAAAGATTGTCATGTTTTTGTCTCACCAAAGATTGTCATGATTGTCTCTCACCAAAGATTGCCATGTTTTTGTCTCACCAAAGATTGTCATGATTGTCTATCACCAAAGATTGCCATGTTTTTGTCTCACCAAAGATACAAAAAATAAAACAGCGAAAAGAGAGCATGTCAAGACAACATAATGATTATGCAAAATGATCTTGCTAAAATTTTGCGCAAGCACGATATTAGCACATGTCACTGAAAGTTCTATCAAACACTTATGGCTACATCGATCTGTCTGATTTTTGGTGGAGAGATGCAGAAAAACATAGGGAACAAATCCTGACCTTCCAAATTTTTTTTAACTCTATTACTTTTTGAGTTACAGCGATTCAAAGTTGGGTATCGTTTTTTTTTTGGACACCCTGTATGTACCTGAGGCACAATGATGCAATTATCGCACAGTTGCAGCAGGCATACTACTATTTATGGTAATTCATACGTTAAATAGCAAAGCACGGTCATGCAGCAGAGCATATTTTCCCAATGTTCATGAGGTTGTTTGGTCAGAAAGGAGGGCTTTTGCAAGGTAGGGTTTCACAGTAAATGGCAATTTATTAGTTGTCTGAATTTATTAAATTATTTAGGGTTAGAAGATTTTGTGAGAATGGATGAGCCCAACACTGGAAGGCAATAAGTGGAAATACATTTATATTTTCCATTTAGTTAGGTGATGATTAATTCCACCATGTGGTGATGCTCCAAAATTTGTTTAATGATGATTTATGTGTCCATGACCATAATTGTTCTCATATATGTATTGTTAACTGGGTCTTGATAAACTACATTCACAAATATTCCAACCTGATCAATTGATTGTTATTGGACTATATACGGTACTTTGATTCATTTACAGTCTGAAAAGGAAAAATCATTCCATGGTGTATTTTGTAAAATCTGGTTTAAAAAAGGTGTTGTAATTGACTTGCACAAAATAAAATTAGGAAAGGGTCACTGTCTTGTATGAAATTATCAACAAGCATTGGGAAACTACTCATGCCCATGATCCAGATTGTAAATCAAGTTTTTTTACTAGTGATATTGACATGTTCTTAGGTTTTCCACCAACCCACTGCAATCTAAAATCATCTTGAATGATAATTTGCAAGTCTTAATTATCAATTGATTGTTTTTTTTTTTTACAATTACGCTCCCCTGTTCTATCATATTAGTTTTCTAAGTTTGTGATGCAATTATGAGAACAACTTTAACTGAAATTCAAAAACCTTCAATGTTTAGTTATAAAATTTATACTATGCAATTTGAGTGATCATGAACCAACTTGTTAGGATAGGTGAACAAATTTGTCAAGTTTTCAGTTAATTTTACCTTTATGCTGATTGTGGCCAATGCATTTGTAGTAACTCTAATAAAAGTGTTCTGTTTATTATCCCAGAAGCAGCCTCTATTGTTTATGCAACTTGGTTTTTGAAGTAACATTAATGAAATTGTTGTTTGAATGATTTCAGAAGCGGCATCTATAATTTAACAAACTTATTTTAGCCCTATCTTGAATAATATGGTTTCTACTGTTGCATGACAAAAAACATGAATTTTAGGTCACTTTTGCTGATATCTTAATTTTGCTAAGTGGTGATGGAGTTGGTGAATGAAGAAGATGTCAAAGAACTAGTCAAGGAAGAGCTTTCAAAGCTGGGCATCCTTGACTCGCCTGTTCTGACTGACATCAAGAAGCAAGGCTATGGAGCTAAATTACTCGGCAGAACTGGTGTGGCCCCAGCTAACAAAAATGTCAAGAATAAGAAGAAAGAACATGATTTGTCCAAGGAGAGCCCTGTGGCTCCAAAACATGATGGTTTCCGCAATAACCCTAAATCCCCATTTTCCAAAAACAGAAACAGCACAAAAAAGAAGAACATGGTGCTTCAAAATAAGGTCATTAGTGAAATTGTTGTAGTAAAAAACTTGTATGTTTCTGATATAGTAGAAGTTTGCTTTATTTTTATTTTTGATGTTCAAATTTTGGGATAAACGGTCATGGAATTTTTCTTTGTAAGAGTAGGCGGTGATCCACCGTGGCCTGAGACTGCTATGTCCCAAACAAATACTAAGGAAATACTAAGTAGATTCTCAGTATCAAGCAAAATTATTTTGGTCAGTATAGCTATGTTATAGATGTAAAATCACTCTTTGCTTTGGATTTATTGCTTTAATCTAGATATAATTTGAATATTTTATTTTTGTGCATGGTTACTACTCCAAATTATTTTTTTCTTTTAATTTCTTCTGTTTTGCAGGTGTTTGGAGTTGGTTTGTCACAGTCACCTCAATGCAAGGCCTCCCTGCCTGATGGCAACTGCGTACAAGTGCCTCAGTTTCTTGTTGACAGCTGCAATGTCTTGAGGAAACACATTACCTTGGAAGGCATCTTCAGGAAAGCTGGATCCTCATCTCGACAGAATGAAATCAAGGTTCCTTCATAAATGGTTGCATTGCAGCACAATTTTTAGATCCTGATATTTTTTTTAATTTACAAATTCACTATCTGTATAGTTACAATAATATTGTATTAATTTTTCTATATACCCATCAAACCTTGAATAAATTTTCCAGGTTTTACAAGAGATTTCACATACATTTTTTACATTTTACTGCATACTCCTAGCTCCGATAGCAATGCCTTATTAAGGATGTGTGTTTGATTGTAGCTGTGGTGCATTCAGTGATATTACTGCAAAATAAATGGAGAAAGGATTGGTAATGAGAAAGGAACGTGATCAATGATATATGGTATATATATATATATATAGGTGACTGTTATTCTGATTGTAGGGTTTACAAATTATTACATTTTCTTGAGTTTCAGATGCTACCAGTATACATGTATATGCTGTTTTTCTTGATGCATTGACATGGACCTGTTGCCTATCAGAGACTGGTCACATGCTGCCTTCGTTGGTGCCTTTACGTTGATTGGTGCATTTGTTGATTTCTGTTACATTTCAGAGACTGGTGGATAGTGGGGCAGGTTTGCCCAGTAATATACATGCAGTGGACGCTGCTTGTCTCATTAAGCAGTTTTTTCGATGCCTTCCCCAGCCTATTCTTGAGACATCCGTACACACTCGTATGCTCAGGTATGTTATGTTTTTTGTTCTAGTCTTACAATACAATGTAGTTGCATTTTATTTTCAGTCGTCTCCATATGCTTGTAGTAAATTTTTTGGAATTCATTATTTACCATTTGGCGTTTGTTAAAACTGATATTTGTTGATCATAATCATAGAAGGTAAGGTGAGAATTTCGTGAGTTTCATTTGCTGTTGCGCTCGATCAGGTCAGGGCAGTAGTAAGAGCCTAGTCAGTTGTGTCTGGTCAGCCATGTCTCTCAGCTCTTGTGGTGCTGGCTATGAATGTGACTTTACCTGTATAGCTAAATATATTCAATTTGAACTGTTCCTATAAAATGGCTCTCAGTATGTTTGTTTTTTGTTTGAAACAACTATTGGTAATCGCTAGTTTACATGATAATTATTGGTTTGAAGAAGATTTGTGCAAAACGATCTTGTTAATAGTTATAATAATAACTAACAATAATAATAATAACTTTTTGGTTTCTGCCATATCAAACCAGGAATATTTTTTGCATATACATATTCCATATATTTTATGTACATTTATAGATACTTCATTTTAAATTTGTGTTTCATTCCTTTGCATATTTTGCGTTGGCAAATTTAAATAAATTTCTCCAATTTACAGGACTTTTAGAGGGATGTATTGTTGGTGAACTCATGATCTGCTTTATGGGAGGTTTAAATCGATGAAGTGAATGAAAAACTCTGAAGCTTGGGTAATGAATTGGCTCCACGCTGTCATTTTAGTCCGTTACAATCTTATTAATTTGCCAGAGTTCATGGCCATGAATGAAAATTCAACTGTCACACCAGATTATTTTAATACTAGTTTCATCTTAATAAGTGCACATGGCTCAATGGAATTTTTTGGTATTTTTAGGACCCTTATTCTAGCGTTCGCTTCAGATTTTGTTTCAAATTTATATTTTGGGGTATAATTTTGCCAAGTTATCAGATATTTATGTATCAACGAGGTGAAGTTTATATATACTGGGACTGCCCTTCATATATGCTGACATCATGACATTCCAAGGCATGATTATTTTAGCTGGCCTCTGAAATGAAAGGAGGCCAATTTCTTTACACAAAGTTCAAACATTATAGGACAGTATTTATTGACTGAATTTACAAATGCCTTTTTATAAGTTGAAAATACCTTCGATTATTTGGAAAAATATTTTAATCAACATCTACTACCGTACCTACAATTTTGGGACTTTGAAAAAAAGAGCTACATATTAATGGCCTTGTAATTAAGGGCTTAGCTGATTCAATAATTTATCAGGAAAAAATAAATTGATCAATGTTGTCAAAGTTATGTAACTGATTAAAAACTGCAAATATTCTGAATTTTAACCAATGAGATGTTAAGTTTACAAGATGGGGTTTTTATATTTATACACTTAAGATTGGAAGCTAGAAAATTTCGTGAAATATTTGTTCAAAAAAAGTCCTGTTTGCTTTACAGTTCATGTTAAAAACTATACTTCTGACTCAGGCTAGCATTCATCTTATACCCGGACTAAAGCTTTTTTCGGCATGTGATGGACTTGCTTTGACTTACCTTGATGGAAAAATAATTTAAAAACAAAGAAAACGCCCAGCAAGTTAACCATTTATTCAATGAAAACATTTTTATGGTGAACTTTAAAGATATGGTGAATTTGTTTTGACGTTTTATTTGCTTTAAATTCTTATTGTACTTGCAATTTAAGCAGACTAGTAATATGATGGACATGATGGTGTAAACTCTAACGATATGGTGAACTTTCTTGGACGTTTTCTTTACTTTCTAAATTCTTGTTGTACTTGCAATTTAAGCAGACTAATTATATAACGGACATGATGGTATACGAGATGCTCTTGATCAGATGTCTGCTGACGCTGGAGGAGGGAGAGCCGCGTGTGGCAGGGCTGGTGCTGTGCTCGCTGCTGCTGCCGTCACCCAGTCAGCACTGCCTTGTATATTTCCTCAATGTGAGACTAATTCACTTATTTGTACTTGAGTAAGTACCATCAAGTGGGATGATTTCGGCAACCAGGGGTGACTGCGGCCATCACTACAACAAAAACAAATGGCAGCAAAACAAAATAATAAATGTTGGCCAAAGTCACCCCGGTGGACAAGGTCACCCCAGTCACATTGGCCAACGTTTATTATTTTGCTTTGCTGCCATTTGTTTCTGTTGTAGTGGTGGCTGAAGTCACCCCCGGTGGCCGAAAGCACCCCACTTTACGGTACTTTCAGCCCTGTCCTTGCATTTCAAACACTAAGTATTTACCATTTCAACATTCTTAAATTGTTGTAGGTATTATTAATGGTTTAGTACTGTAAACCTTTTCTATAGATTTTCAAATGTTTTTCACATGGCTGCCTTCTCCTGCTTACAATTTGTGGTTAGTTAAATGTTGTCTTCTCTACCAGATAAGGATTTAAGTAAGACTTGCACGTATTTTATCATGGCGGTTAAATTTTTCAGAAATTCAAATGATTACTCATAATTCACTGTTTCCTGTTCATAAATATTTCATTACTTGCACACTTTTTTGTTTTCTCGTTCACTCGATAGTTTCTGTTCCCCAGTTCCTGAACGAGATAGTGCAAGAGAGCAGCAGTAATCGCATGGACGCGTACAACCTGGCCGTTGTCCTGTCACCCAACCTGCTCCCCATGACCCTGAGCCACCCCACCCTTACGACCAACCCTACCAACAACCCCACCGGCTGTAGGAAGTCTAAGTTCGATGCTTCTGCTATCACTGAAGACAACATCATTGCTGCTAACATCGACATAATGCAGGTCATGAGAGAAAATTAATCCTTGGCATGGATTATAAGCAAAAGAGGAGGAAGTAGAATAAAAAAATTAGTTTTTAAGTTGTTGTAAAATATAACTGGAAGAAATAAAAAACTGGTGAGGTCATGGTTTCAGAAAGGACGAAAAACGTTACCAGTAAGTCCATAGACTATACTTATTGAAGCGATATAACGCAGCAATATAATATTTGTACGTGATTGCAAACATTTACAATAATTGAATGAATAATTTAGAAACACAGAATTTTAGTGACAAGATCACACATACAGAATTTCATTTAGTGTGTATGGACTATCACGCAATCTCGAACGCTTCTTTTATGGTTTGGAGTGATTTTGTAAAACTTCAGAATTGCTTTGTTTGTGCGATATTATTTGGAACAACCCATCTAACATCGATATGACAATTTTCAGGAGCTGATCAAGCACCAACATCGCATGTGTCGGGTCCACGTAGACGTGTGGTCAAGCCTCTTGCAGGAGCAGCAGCTGCGCGCGTCCGCGCCTAACGAGGCGCAGGACGCCACTGACGGCCCGCGGGTTGCTATAGCAGCACTGCCTAAGAACAAGAAGCGGAGAAGTGCTTCCATTCATCGTCAGTTCAGTAGCACTCCCGTGTTATAACTCCTTCTTGTTAGCAATTTGGCGCTCTAATGTCATTTTTCATAAAATTTAATAGTTGATGATGAAAGATTAAATTTAAGCATATATACGACCTGTCGGCTGACAGTGGAAGCTAAATCGAAATTCATCCAAAGACAATTCTTAGGAAATTCCATCTCTAGAAAACGCATCCTAAGTCGTTCTCTTTGCTGAACCTTGTTCTTGATACCTCTCATGAAGTCTTTGTGATGCTTGATTGCTTGTAAGGCTTTAATATTGGGAAAATTTCATCACACTCCAGAACAATGTATGTTCTTATGTTTTTAGTTGGTCCCTGCTGCTTTCCTCTTAACAAAGATTTCTCTAGTATCGTTCAAGTCTACGTTCTCATGCGATTGATATTTTTGTATAAGGTTATTTTTATTAGTTTTTCAGGCTAAATGTTATTGCTTATTAATTAATCTGCAATGTTCATAGGGCTAATATTTTTGTGCCTAAAGTTCATTTGTCTCATCATCCATCCACTGCTCCAGGTTTGATGTCTGGTCTCCGTCGTGTGGTGGGGGCCCAAGCTGCTGCTGCTCTCCCTGAACATCTTCCCATTAACACCAACTCCCCCCATCCCCTCCAACAACATCGTATCACCCGACACACTTCTTCCCCACCTCCACATTCTCGATCCACCAGCTTAGCTCCCACCAATCGTCACCCATATCGTCTCCCCGCCGTATCTTCCCCACCACATCTCTCCATAGCCGGCCGCGTGCAAATTGCATCTTCCCCATTACGAAGCCCATCTCGTCTCCCCATAGTTCCTTCCCCAGTGCTGCTCTTCTCCCCTAGTCACGCCAAGCCGAGCCTTCATCCCCTTGGGGATGGCATTCCTCTCCGGCTGCGGAGTCCTGGCAAGCGGAAGAGCAGCGTACTGCTCTCCAGTGGAGAGTGAGACTTTGCTATCTGTTGAATTAGTCAAGCCTTCAAGCCTTGTTACATTCAATGCTTTCTGTTGAATTATTCAAGCCTTCAAGCCTTGTTACATTCAATGCTTTCTGTTGAATTATTCAAGCCTTCAAGCCTTGTTACATTCAATGCTTTCCGTTTAATGCTTGTCACATTCCGTGCTCTCTGTTGAGTGCTTCAAGCCTTGTTACATTCCATGCTTTCTGTTTAATGCTTGTCACATTCCGTGTTCTCTGTTGAGTGCTTCAAGCCTTGTCACATTCCATGTTTTCTGTTGAGTGCTCCAAACCTTGTTACATTCCCTTATTTCTGTCAATTGCTTCAAGCACTTGTTTTTCATTCACTGTTTTGTGTTTAATGTTTTAAGACTTACGACGTGCATTGGTTTATGTTGAATGCTTCAAGCCTCACTACATTCCATACGCTAGAAAAAAAACCCTGTGATTGTTTTAAACTAAACCGCACGTTTCTTCCAAAATAACCTTAGAATTTAATGTGCCGTCTGTGTCGAATCAATATTTGATGCTTAATTAAATTGTCTTGTCGAATTCAAATCAGTTGTTTCTTTTGAACTATGTGCATGGTGTGCTTCAGATTTACCGCATTACGCCTATGAATTAGTGCTGATTGTCTGGCTCTTTGATTGTCTTTAATTTAATTGCATGTTTTTAACCTATTATGAATTTCTTATATTTTTCGCTTTCCCAATACTTAAGGCTTGATTATAAAATCTACACTAAATTACAATTTATTTGCATTGACAAAACTCGATTTCAATTTGAACTTCCAACACCAGTGCAGCTTTAATTTATCTGCAAAAATGCAAGCACGGCCACAAGATTAACAGAAATGTCTGAACCTCTTCCGTCCAGCATATTGATGTTATCATCTGAAAGCATAGCATCGAGATAAGCATTGGTTATTCTAAAGCTCTGTTGTAATGTAACCATGAAAATTTATAATTTTTTTATTTTATTTCTTTACATTTTTACATACGGATCAACTTGTAGAGGATGAGGTCTGTCTAATTGACGGGATAGAGGAGTTTCAAAACTCCCAAGTGTTTCTTTGAATAGGAAAGGAATCTCCAAACGAAATGATCTGGGCCAAAACTAATTTATAGTAACTTTCCTACGTGTTATTGGAACAATTTACTCGGAAAATTTATCAACTTGGCTTAAATCGAAGTAATCGCACATTTAATTGAATTAACTTTTTTTTCATTTCGTATGTTTTGAATGTTCTTCGGCTCAATAGTGATAAATCTAAAAGCCATTTAGGCCTGTAGGCTTAATTAAAATAATACGCGCCTCGTTTAAATTAAATAGAAATTTTAATTAATCAACCATCTAATTATCATCAATATAGTGATTTCAAAATGAGACGTTGAAATTTATTTGCTGCGGCTAAGTGCGGAAACTAGGGGCCGAGTGGTTAAGACGACCATATTGGAGCAGCAAGTTGCAGATTTGTAACTCGCTGCTGGCTATTAAAAATTCTGCAACGTCAAGAATCGGCGTACCGCCAATCTTTGGTTCATCTTTAATGCTAACCACACTTTATTTTATAGGTTATTGATAAATGAGCGCTAGAACTTACTTTGCTTAACTTGATAGTGCACATTCGTAAAGACATAGCATTGTTAACGAGTTGTATCGTCTATGCTTTCGAATTACGGACATCCCATCTGAATGTGTTATTTACAGATAAAGGTCATAGTGCCGTGTTACCCGGAAATTATTTTAAAACGAAATTCAGACAGAAATTAAAGAGCTGAAACTGAAAATCTGTATAAGATATGGCATGCATACAACGGCCAAATAATTACCGATTACTACAATAAACTAGAAAGTTGATGAGCAGTAAACATGAGAGTAACCATTTGTCGATGTTTCAAGTAACGGCTCGGATAACCAAAATAACTCGAAAATCTAAACATTTTGCTCAATTGATTTATAATAGAAGACCTCGCAACTGAACCCACTCGCCGCGCCTTCCTTTATTGAAGATCTATTGAAAATTGGGGAAGATACATAACAGTTACTTGTTGGAACCTGCTTTATTTCTTGGAGCCGAGCTAGTGTATAAGGTTTCACCCATTTTTGATTGTCTATGATTGTCACACGCCCTACATCAAAACTTTTGCTGTGGAATGATTACGAGAGTCTCTCGTTCGGTCAGAGCAGGTTGGGATCGGTAGAGAGGGGTTAACGAAACGGGAGCCTACAAGCCCGGTGCTGTCGTGTTGCTAATTCTACCCTGATCGACGCCTCTATTTCCTCGTCGACTATGGTAGCTAGCGAGAGTTTCTATTGATATGGCGGCAGGTCATTGCCGACTAATGACTAATGAATTTATTCTTCGTCATCAGACATCCAACTAATGGAAAAAGTTCATTCTCTGGTTCTCATTTATCAGCTTTACATTTACGAGGGTTGAGAAGCTTGTTGGCTAGAAAGCTTCCAACGTACTCAGAGAGGCGTTTGAAAGCCCTTTATAAAGCTAACCTTAGTCCGTCATCACTTGGTTGATTGATTATTCCGTCACCGTCAACGAAGAAATGAGAACCTTGTACATCATCGTTACGAACTAAATCTTGCGGCCGAACAATTACAAGAGCACTAAAACGAAACATTCAAGCTACAAATTAAACAGGAAAATTTACTAAATCTAGTCCACCTGCTTTTATATGCTATGCCAGCTGCTAGTTGCAAGTTACTGGGGTTCTTATCGCTTGCCAGATGGGAACCTGTACCTTTATGGAGTGGCCAGAGTGCAACTGTAGACTTTCTCTCGGTGTCCATTAAAGAAAGCGAGATACTGAGTCCCTTCGAACGCGACTTGTCCTGACGTGTAACCCACAAGTTTTGACCTCTGTGCTGGCTGACCATACATCGCCGCTGGTCTGCTGTTCAGTGCCCTGCGGTAGGAGCGTCTCCCTAGACCGATCACCGTCGTTAGAACTTAAATTAAAACGTTACGAGTACTCTGACCTCATACACGCGGACGAAGTTACCCTGCCTTTAGGTGCTTTATCGTTTCCTTCCATGACACAGGCCAAAATTGCGCGAACTGTGTTACGAAATCAATGTTTGAACCATTGTAATTCTCCCGAAAGATAATTTTCCATTGAAAAAATGTTTGATACGCAGCAGCTAGAGTTGTGCTTCCAAGAAAATAATAATCATAAGGTTGTGGGCGACCGTGTCCTTCCTGTCAATTAAGTGTCGTTGTGTTTAATTGGTCATCGCTTGACCTTACTTGCTAGATCCGTTTCCTATCCGAAATTACTTATTATTTGTATATTATATTGTTATTGTTGTATTTCGGCAGAAGCCTTTTATGTAAGTTTGATTGAAGAGCAGAGCATGTTTTATTATTAATAATCTCCTTATTTGTTTTTTTTTTTCAACAAGTCGAACAAAATTTCTTGCTGGCGCCGAGAGATCAAAAAGCAGGTTACCAAATTACATTTAATGGAATGCGACGTTTCGAATATACAATACTCATTATAAAGCGGGTAAAGGGTTTTGCAACACTCGAAATTGAACTTTTGGAATGACAGTAGTACAAATCAAGGGTATTGGGAATACAGTTTGAAAACCAAGTTAAAATTACTCTGAAAATAATTTCAGTGTCCGGACGAATACTGTAGTTCAGAGGCTGATAGCTGGAGACCCGCTCGAAACGTTGCATTCCATTAAAATGTCATTTGGTAACCTGCTTTTTGATCTCCCGGTGACAGCAAGAAATTTCGTTACACTCATTGAAGAAACAAATAAGATTGTTAATAAGCAGGCATGCTCTGGTCTTCAATCAAACTTATATTGGTATTGAGTACCAATTTATAATATACATGAACCGCTAAAAAACGCATTCACTTATAGTATATTGGTCAAATAAGATAATTCAATTATTTTCACCTAGGATCCACGATGAAGACCTGCCGAAGAAGAAAGCTCGTCTGGGAGCAGCGCCCATGGAGCGCTCTGGCACAGCTCGACTCTCCTACGCGGCCGCCGTCGCGGCGTCCCCTAAAATGCCTCCACCTCAGGTACTGCGAGATTTTTTGTTACTTTTTTAAAATTTTAATGGGATGCGTTAACGTAATTTCAAAGTTCCTACAAAGCTAGCGCCCCATACATGTTTTTGAAGTAGCGGTTCTGAAGTGTGGTGTCAGTTGCACCTGGGCAAGCTGTATGCCGTGTTATAATTTTCAAATTATTCAATTTACCTTTTTCTCGGAAGAAGAAAGAATCGAATCCGAGAAAATTCAATTGTCTTCCATGTACTTTGATTGTAGATAATGATCTATATTTACTGTTATTCCCATGGACATGGAGAATTTGCATTTCAACTTGATTCAAGTCAGAGGTTAGGTTCAAAATTACTTATTGATCTCTCGATGGCAAGTTTATAATCTGAAATTACCTTCTCACTGAACTGTTGACTATATAAGATTAGCACCAGCTTTCAGTTGATTGCCGTATAACCTGTATATAGCTAGAATAGGATTTGCATCACTGCGGCTGAAATTATCCTTCAGACAGAGAGGTTTAGTTGATAAAGCAATGCATGTGGATACTTTTGCCGATGTGGATCGTTAACGGAGAAACGTCTGCAGACGGTGAACTGATTATTAGACATCGGTGTTTGGAAAAAATTGTTTGTTTTCTAAATCATGGTAATTTTACAGCTATAAATATTTTACATTAATGTTTTGACAGTAAAATAGTATTTTTAAAAAGTTCTGTGAATCTTGCATGATCTATAAATATTATCTCGAAGACAGAGTTCGCGTACTCGCCGCTCATGTTGCCGTGTGTGCAGGTTCAGCCGGCCACGGCGGTCGTCAAAGTTCGACGCTCGGCAACTACACGGGAATCCTCAAGCGGCATTCGTCGGTCGTCATTCGCACGTCACCCCAGCCTTGGTGTCTTCATTGAGCCTTCGCTGTCCTCAAGCAAAAAGTGTTCACCACGTCAACGCCGATCACTCAATTCGAACTTAGGCGAGATGCTGGTAGGCATTGGCGAGAAATGGATCGTCAAGTCCGATAAAATGATTGAGCCTAAGCCTAAAAAAAAGCCAACGCTAGTGCTATACCCTTACGCCTCAGACGAAACACCTATCGCTTCATCAGCTCCAATCACAAGTCAACGATGTCTGGCAGATGAAACAAAGATAAAGGGTGTTGAAACAAATATCGAAGTTATGAGTGGTGAAATACAACCGCTTCTTTTGTACAAGAGCAAAAGCGAAATTATTTCTCGCAGCTCTGAGCAACAATCGGTTTCTCGGACGCCTCTCAAAGTGAGCAAAGCAGAAGACCACGTCAAGTTCCAGACAACTCCAAGCATAGATTCATCCATGAAGTTTACTGCTGCCACTCCTAACAGAGACCAATTAGAGATCCCCGCTACGCCGGTTAGTGAGGGATTCACTCCTCGCCAGAGTTCAGGTCGTTGTAGCAAACGGGCTCGACGTAAAGCTCGCAACGCCCGCCTCGCGCTGCAGTCAGAGCTTGACGGGGAGTCCGATACTCCAAGCCGACCCTCCCCTTACGTTGAGCCTGCTGAGACTAAGCAAACTTCGCGCGACTCTCCAGTCGTTGTAGAACCCCCGGCGAGAGGCGGAAGCGATTTAGTGACTCTAGAAAGTCAGTATGAAACCATCAAAGGTGCGGTGGAGACTTTGGAGAAGCAAATGGACGACGCTGCTTTTGATGAACTCAAACGATCCTTGTTTGGGGATGAAGAAATAACCTCCATCGCTTCCCTAAATCACAATGAAATCATTCAGAGTGCGTACGATCGAATGAAGAAAGAAAGCAGTTTGCTTGGCATAAGTCCATCTGAAAATTTGTCACGACGGTTAGACCGGGAACTGAAGATCCGTAGACGGAGAAGCGGAGAAAATTGTGTTGTTCGGTCACCGAGCGCCCGTAAAATTGGGACAATCCGTAGACGGTCAAAAGAATTGGTAGTTAAAAGCCAGCAAGGGTGCACTTCAGTCGAGGTTCCAACTGACCTCAAGGGTGCTCGCACTCCACGTCTGAAGGAAGCGCTGCTTAAGTCTCCGCTATCGCATTCTTTGAAACGTGGCCGACCCAATTCAGTGCGTTGCGGCCTTCCCTTCGTTGTGCGTCCTATGGAAGCTGATGTTTCTGTAGTAAAACCTCGCAAAGACACGCCCCCACTCTCAACACAGTCCACTCTAGTAAATGCAAATGTTGAACCATCCACTCCCAACCTTTCAGGTAACCCCGAAGAACTTCAATATAAGCTCAGTCCTGGAAATATGGATGATCATTCCTTGCCTAGCGTCATGCCGGGTGTTACTTTGAATGAACTTTCATCCGTTGAAATGGAGAACGAACATTGGGTAACTGCTTCAGATTTCCTTGAAGAGGTCGAAAGTCAAATTTGCAACGAGACCTCAGAAAGCGGAACTCCCTTAGGCAAACAGAAAGACGGTAATCGCCCGTCCATTGCTGCTCTCAAGAAGCAGAAGAAAGTTACAGCTAACGTGCAACTCTTCAACCAGCTGGGCTGCAATACGCAGCAGCGACGGCAGTCTCGAGTGTGCGCCACTCCCATGGGCGCCTGCCCTGCGTTGCCCAGACCTGCGGTGTCAGAACGACGTCAACAAAATAGTTTATCTCAACAACGATCTCGTCCTCGTGCGTCTCTCACGCCTCGTCACTTCGCAAATTGCAGTGCATCGCGACGCCCCAGAATGGTGGCCGTAGTTTCACCCCTCAAAGAAAACTTTGTCAATGTCACACATGTCACGGCGATGCCCTCTGGTAATTTCGAACAAAGCGTTTTCAAAACGCCACAACGTCCGCCTCCTGCCACCCCTAAGCGACCCAAAGGCCATGTTAGCATTACTCATCTCTCGCTAGAGTCACCCGGGAGAGTTGAGCGTCAATCATCGTTCTGATGCTAATGATTTGTTCTTTCCTGTCCGATGATAAGGATTAATTTTCTACATAATCATGTCTGTGATTATTCAAAATGTCTTTTAAGTGTACCTATGCATCCAAGAAAGTAATCATCACTATGTCTGACCATTGTTATATATGTGAATCGTGCCCGCGAACTTCACTTACTCACCAAACTGCACTTGATGTTATGCAGTTTACATTGAACGAAGACATGTAAATAGGTTTTATTTGCTTTCATTGCTACTCAGGAGACAAGGCATTCTGTCGGGTTACTTAAGCGAATCGAAGACGAACTTATTTAGCCCAATTCATTTTTTGTCGTTCATGTATTTCTAAGATATACCTCGTTTGCATTCAATGGAAGTTCGACACAACCACCTGTCAAATACGTGTGAACTTCTAATTTCGTAAGGTATGACGTATTCGGTCAAGTCAAACCTCTGAGAAAGACATGCGCTATAAAAGGACGTGCGTTATGTCTGAAAGAAAGTTCCACATCCAGAAATTGTTTTTTCCCACGGTCATACTCTGAAAAAAAGCTTTTATGTTTATTTTCTAATAATGTATTACGTTCCAAATTAATTTAGATTCTACTGCTTCTATTGATATTTTTACGAAGTGACGTTGCTTTTAATTTCTGTAGGTTTCTGTTTCTCCCGACCATACCTACGAATCCTTCAATTGATTTAATGTGATTTATAACGAGGTCAAGAGGACGCGTCTACATTTTCAGAGACTTGACTCTTGAAGCGGTTTTTGTTCAGTGTGTTTCTAGACGTTTAATGTGTTTAACTATATAAGAAAAATCTAAATGGAAAGTTCATTTGACATGGAAACCGATTGTTCTGATGTACTTCGTTACAGGAACGTTTATTCAGAATTATCAAGGTTTACTGAACGTATTTGAGATTCTTTCAGTAGCGTAATCACTTCCCGCATAACGGTAAGTGTCAATTCAAGTGAAAATTTATCAACTCGATCGAACGCTTCTCATCGTTCATCAGAACGTATTCTGCTTAATTTTATCCAAAAGCTTCAATGAAAATAATCGTCTATGTCTCAAGTGGAATATTGTTTTTTCTGCGAAAGATCACACGAATATATTTTTCGTATCCTTGACGAAAGTTCCTAGTCGGTATGCACGTGTTATCAGCTAGATCCATGACATTAGGTATACCGTTATGTAAAATAAGGCATCCATTCATTCATTAAGCATGAACGAATCTTGTAAGTTTTTGTTTAAACCTTACAACGGATAAACTACGGTTTTTTCGCCCAGATCCTCATTGAATATTTAAAAGCCTTCACTCCTGTCATATTTGAATCTGCCTAATTTTTTTTATTCATTTTAGTGCTGAAGCGTACGGTCAGTATGAAGAATTTCTGTTCAGCAGAATCAGCTATCTGTACTGTCAGAAAATAACGCGGTTGCACATCACAGCGTTCTCACTTAAAATTTCCTTTTTGTTTTGGTGACGTAAAACGTCGCTCATGGTCACGGTCATTATTGAATTTTCTCCCATTTACTGAAATTGATGCACAACCCTCGTTCGTATCGGGAGGTTTAGTTGAAAATTCTAAACTTTGTTGTCGACGTCGCGCTTTGTGCAAAAGCCGAAAGAAATTCGTCCACTTAAACTTCTTTACTTCAAATTTCCGATTCGAAAAGTAAGGATGTGACTACAAATACCTGAAAAAACAGGCGCCACGAACGTTCAAAAAAAAAATACTAGAAATTATTGTGAAATCTCGAGAACATTCGAGACTCCTGAAAAGTGAGATTTCCTAATCGATCAAATAAAAACTTTTTCATAACGAGCAAATAAGAAAAGGTTGTATTACTTGGAGCATCAAGTAGTAGTCAATACGACATTCAATCTCCTTGTTAAAAATCTAGCACCGCTATGAAAGATCGGGTAAATTGAACTTCTAACCTCTACTCCACCATTGCACATGATGCGTATGTACTAATTTATCAAAAAACCTATATAAATAAATTTTCCTGTAAGAACCTGAATAAACTTAGATGAGCTTTCACGAATAAAAATGGATGTTATTTTTGTTCAGTACAGTGATTGATGGTAATACAGAGCTAACGGAAACTGCAGAAATTAAATAGGCAATGCCTACAGAGAAGAACATCCCTTGATTTATTTTCAGGTTTCTAACTATCATCAACTCCTATTAAAAAACTTATAAATGAAAGCAAGACTAGTTCATTTCCTCTAGGTCATAATGAAAATATAACAGAGAAGACATGCTGGAAAAATGACTTTCTTCTGTTAGACGCGAGAAATCCGAAAAGTGGAGCTATACTTTCTTCCGTTGACGCAAGAAATCCGAAATGTGGAGCCACACTTTCTTCCGTTAGACGCAAGAAATCTGAAAAATGAAGCCATCGTGACATCATTCAGAGGAGACATCACGGAGAAGTGATGAACGACAGAGGACCGGCGCAGAGTGGGCAGCTATTCTCGATCTGCTTCCAATGGTGCAGACACTGCAAATGAAAAATGAAATGAGAGTGGTTTAGAAATTTCATAATAAGGAAATAACACGTATATATTGAGCAATTATTCCTGGACATCCAAGCTAGTACGTACACATAAGTCGTACACATAGCCAACATTACAGATAGGCGATGGCTGCTGTTACAGGCCTCCTGTCATGAAAACCCGCGTGCTGGACTATCGAGATAGAGCGAGACTGTGAAGTGCATGACAAGTCCTCGTTTTTAACTGCCTATGTAATGCACCCAACAAATATCTATAAGTAATTATACCGCCTTAATACGAGGCATTCTATTTTAATAATCCCAGCATTGATGAAGATTCCCATTACGAAAGATAAACATCCATCGCGTTTTTACATATATGTTGAAAGTGTACTTTCGCATAACATAGTTTGAAATAACGTCAAGGTTTACCCAATTTAAAAATTATTCCTAACATGCGGTCAATCGATTTACACACATAATTAACAACAATATCGTCAGCCCATAAGCAACAACTTACGTAGACACTTGTAACCCACAGCCAAGACAATAATCGGCTGAGGCAAGTAGGTATTAGCAATAGAACATATTATTGTCCTAAGGCTGCCGTCAGAACAATGAAAATAATATAGGGTTTACGTAGTGTTAGAATAAACATATCACCTATATGCAACATGTACTGCGAGTTGTCGGATTCTAGTGTAAGGGTACGCACACAGTGAAAGCAGGTTGCCAGCGTGCTGGTTACCTGCTCAGGCTGGTGCCTGAATCCATAGAATACAGAAGCCTATTCGTACAGGTTTTCACTGTCAACACTTACATTATTATCCTATGTTCATTCTTGTGGCAGGTTGGAGCAGGTTGCCCGCACGGGCAAACCTGCTTCCACTGTGTGCCTACCCTAACTTCTAGGTCCCTTGCCTTATTTCCCTGTAAGAGGAAGCACCCGCTTCTCCTATCGCTCTCTAGCTTCTGGTCTTCGGCTTCAGCAGGTTCTAGCCGCTCTTAGTTACGGTGTTAAAGTAAACCTTAGCAGAAGACTCAGCTTTCATTCAACCCCACAACCGTGATACTACCATGCCATCGCACAGTGAAAGCTCAACAGGTAGTGAATGAAGTAGGCTAAAGGTGCTTGTACACGGGGACAGTACTGGCGGCAAGTAGATCTGCCAAATGTCTGCCGCTTGGTGTCTATCCCGCAAGTAAGCTTAGACACGAGGCAAGTTTAAGGTGCCGCCGTACCGGTAACGACTAGATACCGACACGGCGGCACCTTAAACTTGTCTGGTGTCTAAGCTTACTTGCGGGATAGACACCAAGCGGTAGACATTTGGCATTTTTCTCATCTACTTGCCGCCAGTACTGTCCCCGTGTACAAGCACCTTAACAGCTGACCTGGGCATGGAAGCAGTGGAAGCAGGTGAGCACTGACGTCTTCTTGCGGCCATAGGGACCCCCGCAGATCATGCAGCAGCTGCCCTCCTCGGACCCTAGGGACGTGAAGGATACATACGGACGTGGCTAATGGCTATACGAGCGATACGGACGTGGCTACACGCGCGATACGGACGTGAAGGATGCACGCGCGATACGGACGTGAAGGATGCACGCGCGATACGGACGTGAAGGATACACGCGCGATACGGATGTGAAGGATGCACGCGCGATACGGACGTGAAGGATAGCGCGATACGGACGTGGCTACACGCGCGATACGGACGTGGCTACATGCGCGATACGTACATGGCTGAAATAACAAATCAAATATTGATAGGTAAATCAGAAGAAGAGTTCAACACTCACAGACTTGGGCCAGCGGGCGCGTCAGCCGCACTTACCACATAGTCGCGCTGCTCCTACATGGATTATGGACCATGATGTGAATCCTCTCAAGGTAAAATGAATCCGTGTAGCCAAACCGAGAAGTTACTTATTCCTAATAAAGAGATCTCCCAGAACAGCATTACTAAATAATATTCATGAAATTTAACTTAAAAAAATAGAATTTAAACGCATCAAAGCAAAAGAGATCTCCCAGAACAGCATTACTTACCTGAATAATATTCTATATTTATGAAATTTAACTAAAAAAATTAATTTAAACTCATCAAAGCATGAGAAAAGAATCAGAGCTAATGATGGACTAGACAGCTAGGATTATCTAAGAACTTTTTAATGAAAGGGTCCCAGCATTAGGAGTATCTTAAACTAGGAGATGAGCCGCATTACCTTCCTAAAAAGATACACACAATAATTGTCGTGTAATTTTCGGGACGTCATTGAGGTAGAGTCTTGCCTTAGGCAATACTGACGAGAGTGTACTCCGAAAATATGGACCAATAATAATGAAATCAATGGTCCATACCATACCATTCAACTAATATAGTTATCCGAAAATATGCACAACTTGAAATATGGACCATTAATGCAATACTGAGGACAATTTCAAGGCAATGGACTAACGAGTAGAGCGTTCATGTACAATATAAACGGTGTAGGAGTTCGGGTCCAACGTAAGTGTGAGAAATCGATCCAGTAAAACAAAGAATAAAACCATAATTATTGGCCTGTCCTAGATATTAAATATACGCATAAGTTTATCTAAAACATGATCTAATAACCTAATAACGCATCATCCATTTACTGATAAATATTCGCGTACGTGAACTCTATCCGGATGTTAATTCTGATCCGAAATAACTCAAATTCTTTCCTTATGTTCAGAGGCGATACAGTGGAAATCTCATATCTGAAGATCATTTAAAACATTACTCACCTAAAGCAGAGCAAAAAGAAATAATTCTTTTTGTTTTCGATAAGTTTAACATAACAAACATTACTCACCTAAAGCAGAGCAAAAAAAAATAATTCTTTTTGTTTTCGCTAAGTTTAACACAACAAACCTTTACTGTGACAAAGTTTTTCCCTGAAGAGCGCGGCAATCTCAGCGAAAGTTTTGCCTAAGATGGAGCCACCAGCGCAGTCCTCCCGCACTGCCTTTAGGAGCGACTCGAGACGAGCCCTGGAGTAAAGAAATTATCATTTATTAGCAAATAAAATAGCAGCCCAAACTAGAGGGAATGGTCATAATGAGGGAATATACATGGAGTAGTAAATCATTAATATCAAGAGAATGCAAGGGTACATGTATGCAATACAGACAGTTAGGGTCGAGCGAAGAAATGGAGGGAATGGTCAAAAGCAACTGGAATTCGGAAGGCGTTTCGAATCGAATTTACTACAATTTAGTAAATTAAATCGAATTTACTTCTAATTGACTTGACTTCTAATCAAATCAAGTGTCTAGTAAGCATGCCACTTCTTTACTCGAAATAATTTTCGTGGTGGAAAAAAAGAAGCACTGAGATAATACACATTATGTATGAGACTAGATAAAGCTATGGAAAAATATATGTTCAGATTTGAAATGCCTAGCACCATATCGAACCCGGTGGAAGTCTAGTAGCTACTTGAAACTATCGTCAGTCATGAAAAGATCCGGTCAAATGACACGATTTTAGATCTTCTGTGAACAAGGCACGAAAAGGAAAAGAATCGGCGACAGGCCACATCAGGCCTACACTTCAGCGCCGAGATCAATATGTTATGTTACGTTATGTTATGAAGGGTTGCTGCAGACCTCTAGATGTTCGAACCCCATGCTTCAGCGTAAGTCTTTACAGTATACATGTTTAGCTCAACGATGCCCACAAGGCACGATGAGTGAAATAACTTAACTACACATATAAATTCGCCTAATTAATATCTTAATGGATTCCTGAGAGCGTAAAATTATTGGCAATCAAATACAAAATTATGGATTAAATACAAAGCAATTACAATGGGAGAGGCGCTCAACCTGCGATCACGACGAAATTAGAATTAGTGGTCACACCCCAACACATTTTCCCCCCATCATTATACGATAACTAACAACGCGAAACAATACTACGTAGTTTGTCACGGTATGTCCGGAACACATACTAAAGTTGCTCAAGTTTTTCTACAAGCATCACAAAAAAACAGCATAAATAATTCAATTCATAATCATGCAGATATACATCGATAAGTTAGAATGTTGTTGATAGTTTGGTATTATCAAAAACTATCATAACTCGAACGGTCTGGCACCCTGAACGCATTATTGGGAGCAGAGAAGCAGTAAGAGCTTCACACGCACCTGTCAACGCAAGGGAAGTGCTGCAGGAGGTAATATTTGAGCTCGTTGACGTCTACAATTCTTGAAGAGAACGCCGCTCCTCTTCTCACACCAGCAGGCAGACTGAATTCTGAGTGAGCCACAGCGGGAGTTAGTATATCATGCTAGTCAAAACACATTTAAAGCAGAGGCATTTAATACCAATTGTTTGAAAAGCATTTCAGAATATGCACAGAACATCGGTAATTAGATTCAATCATAACGTATATAATAGACAAATTAATCTATAACGAGACAAGAACCTCCGACGAGAAAATAATGCCAAACGTAAGTGCTAGCTACAGTCATAATTGATGTAGTTTATTACCGCCACCAACGATGGGTGATGATGGACCAGGCGAGACGGCGTCCAAAGATGTCGTCCGATGGCGTTCGGCGCGTCCGCTCATGGCGGCGGCGGCGGCGGCGGCGTCATCCGGTGTCGGAAAAGGAAGATCCTCGTCCCCAGCATCTCTCGAACCCGATGGGTGCATCGGGGCTAGGGCCTCTATGAGGACATGGCTAGGTTTTGAGAAGAAACTTTTTTCCTTCGTCAAGTAAGAAGGACCGTTCGACGATGCCACAGTATCGCCCTCACTTCCAACGACGCCAGACGTGTTGATGGTAGCAGAGGCAATGGGCTCATAGTTCAAGGAAGATAACGGAGGGATAAACGCAGGCACCTCCGCAGGAAAAATCTTGACAGTTTGTTTGGCTCTTGCTGAGTCAGTAACGACGCCCACAGGTGAGTAGGCACCAACGGTTCTTAGAGCTTCTGCGCCCCCAGATAATTTGCGCACACTGCTCGGCGAAGAGTTCCATGCCGTTGGGGAATACGCATTTTCCTCTTCAGGCAACACGGAGATCTTCGGTCCATCAGGAAGCAGCGACGGTAGGTGGTTGGACGAGGAACGTGTCTGAAGAAGGGAACGAGATGAAACAGGATACGGCGTCGCGGGTCTAGAATCGGCATCCATGAATTGATGGTTTACAAGGTTGCAGGAAGAGGAAGCCAAGAAGTCCCCTTTTTGACTTCGATCAGAATCGACTTCGGCCATCGCACGAACCTCGGACGAGCAAGCTGTCGGCAGCGATCTGGTTCGAGCCCTACGAACGCCGTGTCGCCAAAGATTGAAGGGTACCTTTTCACGGCTACCAGTATATCGTGAACTAAAACCACGCATACCGCTTACTTCTTCCTCAGGAGAACTAAATGCAAACAAACTAGCTTCTTCTTCACTGTGCGTAGTTGCCTTTTGTGGGACGCTCAATTCCCTCAAGTTCGTGCAGAGTCCAACGAATTTGCTTCCATCAGACTGCCGAACAAGATCTGCAGCTTGAGAGTGATTATTTTCAGTTGCAGGAATATTTGAAGGCTGCACCGATACAACTTCTGCGTTGAAACTGTCTTGAGCTTCTGAAAACCAACAAAAAATGTTAAAGATCGAGGAAACTGGAAATATTTCGATTTTTAAAATGGTTGTCACATAAATATGCCCCCGGCAAGCTGCACTACTAAACTGATAGCATTGGATTAGGTCTCGAACGGCTGCACGACAGAACCACAAGATGAGCGAGCTAAGTGATTCAAAGTAGACATTGAGTGGCAACAGAACTTGAGGGTTTATCTATATCCACTTCAATATATTTCAAATTATCGTCGTTTCATTCACGATAAAGCCCCAGTCGTAACTTTAAGTTGTGAAAGTTGTGTCGTAACTTTAAGGCGTGAAAGAGAGTCGAGTAAGTGAAATGCCTCAAATATCGGAAGTCAGTGTGCATTTTCATGCCTTTCAATTCAGAGACAAGTTTCGACAAATTTGAGATGGACCTGCATCAGCAAACCTGAAAAGAGGCGTAACTGTACGTTTCAATTAAATTATAATTATTAATGAATTCAACTGCTCTAATCATCAACGCATTCAACAAAATATTTGGGAAATAATACATACTATTCATAAAACACAAATATATTGTATTAGTTGGAGGTAATCGGCCACTGTACAGGATTTTCATGAGTTATTTTATTACAAAAAGTTTGGAAACGACTTGCCTAGACGACTCGAGTAGTCGTCACGAGCTTTCCTGCTACGAGTCGCGACGACCCAATTGAGTAGCCGCGATTGGTCAAGTCCTCATCAACCCCAAATTCTCAAATTTATTTATTCTATTACCCCAACTCATTCAGTTTTCCTGAATTACCTCAAACTCCCATATCGTATAACCACAGAAACTGCCGCAAGATTATACATTGCCTACACCAACCTCCATATCCTGCTCGAGGTTCAGGTTGCAGTGCGCGTGACGATCGCTGAACAAGTTGTGCCAGACATGCTTGTTGATAGCATGACAATTCGCTCTTCGTACAAAGACTTAGGGCTGGAATTAGTTTTAGTGGTGCGCTTTCCAACGGAATAGACTCTTGTTCATCACAATTGGTTCGTTTGACAGGAGATGTCTCAAAGGCGGCGTCACTAACAGAAGGTACTCCAGTTGCATCGATGTACAAGCCAGGAACTTCGACTCCTTGAACATTTTTACGGGAAGAAAACCCATCTGTTTGATCATTGCTCTCGAGAACGCCTGCTTTTTGTAAATCCTCCCCACTCTTAAGGATGGATGCTTCTACACTGTGATCTTCAGGCGAGTGCGCTAGCGGCAAATCAACGCCTGTCACGACACGATCTTGACATTGAACGTCTCCATGGACGAAGGACGCAGCTTCATGTGGTTTACCTTGCGAATCAACACTCGCGCCCATTCCTGCAGAGCAACGAATGTCATCCACGATCGCGCACGCATTCTCCGTATTACTTACGTCACAACTAGTTCCTTCTACTGAAGTTCGACGAAGTGGAATCTCGAGCGAGATATTGCGAGTGTCAGCTGAACAGACATTAACACTTGTGACATCGGTTTGAACGAGTTTGTTTTCAGTCGACGACGCTTGATCAGTTTGAGTGCGACGAGTTCGGAACATCTTGCCAGACGATGGTCCTCCAAGACAGCCTATTAAAGGCGAAATGGCGGAGGCAACAGACCGAGAGACTCCATGACGAATAGACAAGCTTTTCGGCATTACGTAAAAAATGTTGGACTCCCACCTATCACGACCAGGGAACACCATGGTCTTTGCTAGTATCTCAGTTTTGAAGTCCGCAGAAGCGTAGGACTGAGCGAGTGTTTTGCTCCTGTCAAGCAAAAAGTGCAAAGACCGAGTCTCCCACAAGTGAAGAAACTTTTGTCCAAACAGCTCTTCATTGAACAATTCAGGCGACCTTGATATAGCCATGAGAACATGCCAGACTTGATCTCTGAGTTCATCCATAGCCACACGATTGGCAGAATATTTTTGCAGCAAGCACTTCATGCTGACAGCCGTAAAGAGGTCGATTTCATTACTAGAATTTTCGTGTGAGGCTGCTGGGTCTTGTGAGCTACTAAGCTCGTGTTGCAAGACACAATCGTGCCCGTTTTCAAAGCCTTTAGCGTCGACATTGGCAGACTTAGGATCTTTCTCAGCTAGTTTGTTCTTTACTGAATCAATCCCGTAAGGGAAAGACGCAACTCGATCTTCTAGCGTCTCATTTTCAGGATGTGCGCTATCCGAAGACAGATTTTCAGCAAGCGCTAGCCTTTCAGTACCTTGTTCTAAACAAGGAGCCGCTGAAAGTTGTGCATATTTTATCTGGCTCAACGCTAGTTTCAAACTAACGCAATCTTCTAGAACAACTCTCAACATATTCATAGCTTGTTTCGATTCTCTCCGAAAACCATCGTTACTCATTTTCAGATAGAAGTTTTCCTCCGTCACTGCAGCGATGTACGACGCCAGGTCGTTCTTAAACCGAGAAATTTGCGCAAGCTGATCATCAGTTACAATTGGGCGCGTCTTCAAATCCATTACCAGTTCCCTGAGCCGAGAATTCTCACTCTTGAGACTTGAGTTCTCGTCGCGCAGGTGGCGACAATGCACCAAGGAATGACACGTTTCCTGGAAATGTTCCTGTAAAACGTCAATGGAAATTTATAAACACATCATAACCTGAGGCGACTGAATAAACTCTTCTTTAGGGAAAAAACTTGATAAAAACTTGCATTTCAACCGAGGTTTGATAATTTATCATCGGCGGAAAGCTTAGGTATTGCATACTCACATCCCCCGAAAAATGCGACGTTAATTAAGGTAAGAAAAATTTGATTATATAATAGATACCAATCGTTCAAACCAAATAATGTGAAAAATGAAAGAGCGCACATTCAGTGAAGCTAACGAGTCGAGTCTAAATATTTAATTGTGACTGATTTGGCGTTTTGATGTTGCTGTTCGTTAAAAATTTCGTTTGTGTGACGAGGGAGGAATAGAAATAGGAAAATTACGAAGAAAATACGAAAGATTTATGAAAATCTTAAACGCTGATGAGGCTATGGCTAGTCCACAGTCTGAGCGATTGCAAATTGATAAAACAAAATATTTTACAGCCGGAAACAAAATATGAGATCTGGGCACTCGGTACAAGATTATAACTGCCTGATGAGTGAATAAATTAAAAAATATTACTCAATACTCACTGCAGTGAGTGACAGAGAGCGCATTTTCTCGTCGACGTAAACTTGAGGTCACGGACAGACGGACAGACAGACAGACAGACAGACAGACGGACATGGCGAGCACAATAGTGCATTTTTTCCATAAATGAGAAAATGCGCTAACAAGGGTTACAAATGAACAGAGGTTCTATAACAATACCGTGGCCACAATGCGGGTGGCATGAGAAGATTGCTCGTCATCAGGCATCTCAGGAATAGGCTCCAGAGCGTACGGGTAGCCAGGACTGGGGCGAGGCGACGCAGATATCATCGGAGGTTCTGATCGATGGTCTTGCATAAAATGAAATGACGCAAGTCCTGCAGAGGTAGGTGCAAGATTAAGCCACAATTTCTCATTTAGGTTTTTATAATCAATTCAACTTACATGCTACCAAAATTGAAAGAGAAATACAAATGAGTTATTGCTCATTTGCGTTAGTTGGTGTTAGATTGTGGTCAATATAAGAGCACGTAAAGGTTCGTGCGATGAAGCGCTTGAATCAAGCTTTACGACCTATACAGGCCAAGGAGTCATTGTAGCGCGTTCGGAGTTCAAAGTTTGCATGCAATACCTAGGCTAAAATACAGACAATCATGTTTTCAATCAACAACCAATTACCTGCATCTCGAGCAGCATCGCCGAACCCGACAGGAAGTTCCTTCCCTTGTTCAGCGGTCAATAGTTCAAGAGGCTTCTTCAGGCTCGATTTCATCTTGTTATGAGGCCATGCCTCCATGACCTCACTTTCGCATGCTCCTAAGTGTGTAGGCATATTTCTTCCTGCGCTTGTAGAGTCGGCAATAATTTGGAAAGGTTCCCCTTCTTCTTTTGTAGCTTTGACAGCAATACTGTTAGGTTCCCGCGCAACGTTTATTGCTGGTTGGGATATGCACGCGCTTACTAGTTTTTGAGGTTTATCAACTTCACAAGAGCTACTCGATTGAGAACAACGAGCTAATGCAACAACCGGATCAACGTTAGAATAATTGAATTTTTCAGAACATCCTGATTCATCAATCTTGGAGTCATTATCTGTATTAACAGCGGGCACCATCGTATCTGCAGAGGTTTCAGATCCAGCTTGCGCAGTCGTGCTTGAAGAACTCCGGCAACGCAAAGAACTATCTCTCGTTTGGTCTTGTACTGAAAAACACTCTGTAATTTCAGTATATGATGCTTCGGGTCGGTCGCGACGCTCCAAAATACTAATAGAAATTGAAGAATTCTCTTCTTCTTTGTAAGATTTTGCCAATGAAGTTTCGTGGCGGTAATTTAAGTCTGAGTTGGCAGTGGAAATTGATGAATCGACGACTGAATCGTTACTAGCCTTGGACATAAGCTCAGGAGACTCATTTAACTCCGATCCACCAATAAATACGTAGCCGTCCAACAAATTAGGTGTGTGAAAACGATGCAACGCAGAATTTGCCTTCTCTAATATATTTGCGCGATGAGGCATTCTAGGAAATGTGGTAAACCTACGTGGAAAAGTCATGTGTTCATCCAAACTTCTATGATCATCTGGTAAAAAGTTACAAGTTGAGGAACTTAACTTTGGAGTTGGATACAATTTTCCATGAACTTCAGTTGTCGAAATTTGAGGAAGTTCAGAATGGCGTTGAATTATTTCAGTTGTTTCCTGGTTGTTCTGGAGGCCTTGGTTTGTGATTGCTCCAGAAAGGTCTTCATCTATCACAGCAGCCAACTTTTCATTGGCATCAATTCCTCCCTGTGCAATAAAGGGCTCAGGGGCATGATCATGCAGGCAAGGTTCTTCGGACTGAGGTGTAGGTGGACAAACGCTTAGTACTGGATAACAGAGTTCCGGGTTTGTATCACCACATCCACCGGGAGAGTTAGGAGCCGCGCATGGAAGTTCGACGCTATCGGCTCCTGATGACACGTGCTTATCATTTAGGGGATCTTCGGGAACAATCTTCGTGTTTCCAGCAGGTTCAGTTAACATGTTTGGGCACGGAGATAAATACGTGAACTCAGATGCTTCATTGTCTTCATCTAATATGGCAGCTTGGTTGAAATCAGACTCCGTCAATGAAGGGAACGTAAAAACATCCTGGTGAGAGCGATCGTACACGACGGGAGTATTGCTTGGTACCAACGGAGTGCTAACCGCTTGAGGCCGCCCCACGACAATATTGGTACGTCTTTCCTTATTCTGCGCGATGACCAAACGAAGCTCCGCTTTAAGTTCATCCAAACGAGACGCGTCGCTGTCACGGCTGTGCTCTTCGTGCTCCATGTGTGGTTTGATATTGAACGTTGTGGCATCGCTGTTCATATCTGAAGCTTCACGGAGTACTTCATTGCTGTGAAAATCTGAATTGTTAGATCTGGCAAGTTCCAAATCATCAGCCTCAGAATCTTTCATGAGGCTCGAAAGTCCATCAAAGGGGTTGGATCGTCGGTAACAAACAATGCTGGACAGAGAGAGGTTGCACTTGCTAGGTTTGCGCACTGAAGGCAATGAAGGTTCTTGGGAATCGTCAAGCTCGTTCTGATTACTAAGCTCAACATTGCAGCTAATCAGTGGCTGAGACGTCGATAGTGACTGCGATTCCAAGTCACTTGCAGAAGCATCGATGGAGGCAAAGCAATTTGATCGTGATGATAGATCCTTCGAGTCATCCGAAGGAAGGGATCCGTCAAATACCGAACTGTCGACAAGGTCAAAGTAAACAGTTTCGTCCACCGGGGGATAGACAGCCGTTTCTATGATTTTTGAGGCTCTTGCACTCTCACGTTTCCCAAGTAAGTTAGTCTTTACACCAGGAGAAGATTTGACTGCATCGCTCAAAGACAACCCATCGTTATTGTGATCAACTACACGAGCGCGATGCACATCAGGCTCTACAGTAGGCAGCAGAACTTTACGCTTAGATAAAGAACTTATCTTCAGAGACTCGCTGTTTTGAAGCGGAGAATTGGAATGATATGGACCTGATATCGAATTCCCAGATGTACTTCGAGCAGGTAATTTCACATTCACATGTAAATCGCCTGTCATTTGAGGGTAATTTTTGCCATTATTTTCGGCTGCTGACTCTTTGGAAGAGGTGACAAGAGAAGGTCGAACATCCCAAGCAAGTGGTGAAAAACCCTGCGCCAATTCGGCGTTGGCACCAAAAGCAGGCAATTTCATGACAAATCCATTTGGAGACGACGCGTGTCCATAATTCTCACAGACTGCATCGCTCGTTGACGCAACATCGACAGCAGAATTTCTTCTGGTGGCACCTAAGCTAACCGAGTCAATTTTAGAACTTGATTCTTTGTTAGAAATTACTGGCCCTTCATTACTTTTTTCCTCAGATGTAACGGCTTTCAAGACAGAAGAGCTGGAGTACGACACAGATCTAATGCTAGTATTCTTTCGCTTTAAGCTTCTTTTGAGCATATAAAAGCCTTCAGAATACCTAACTTGAGAGCTCGACTGAATAAAATTATGAAGCCCAGTGTGCTGCACAATCGTTTGCAGAAGAACAGAAGACCCAATAAGGGCTGATAGCTGAGCGTCGTCGTGTGACACTGGGCCATCCTGGAGCAGAGCATGAAGATTGCTGAAACAAAATAAAGAAGTTTGTCAGCATGTTCTTACAAGACTTAATTAGGGTTAGCAATCGCAAGGCTTCATCTCTTCATCGTTAAATTAACGATACTCGCGACTAACAAAAACAATGCCTAGCGGGTCAAAAATTGAAGAGAGTGGACATCAGAATAGGCTAAAATACACAATTTTGACGCTGATTTTAATAATTCGTGTATTGAGAGAAGTAAAAACTTGTTTAGTATACCTAAAGTACGATACAGAGGCAGTTCGATGGATATTCACTGTTCTTACTAGCAAACCGTCGATTCGTTCATTGGTTGACGGCGTGCAAAAGACGATATAGCACGGCCAACGGAGCAACCGTACGAATTAATTTCTAATTTAATGTCATCGTTTATCGATGCCATCGTTTCAGTTGGTAGCCAGCTAATCAGGGCATGGGTTTTGCATTATATTGCATAGCTTCCGTCAGTGTGCAAACAACTTTCATTCATAGTACCTGAATTTCTACTTTCAGATATATGCTAACAAGGTTTAGTACCTATGGGCAAAACTTTAAGGCCGTGCTGAATGCAGCAACTATTCTAAGAGGTAAATTAAAGTCCATGGCACATAAAAAAAAACACTGCTGGTATTTTGCATCTAGGTTTACTTCTCTACTGAGGAGCACTTGAGAACATGCAGAGCAAGTTTATATGCAAAATTTGAAATAAACTAAGATTAAAACATAAAGCAAATTCATGAAATTTTTATGGGTGACATTGAAACAAATAAAGATATGTACTTCCTAACTTATGAATTGGTGCATCAGTCAAAAAGTTGTATTTAGCTATGAATAATTCCAGCTACAAGCACTTGCCTGTTCATCTCATTAAATACCTATGTCGAGTGTGTAAATATGCCAACTCCTGTAGAGTAAATGAAGAAATAACACAACTAGCATTATTTATTATTTGAAAATGGTTGTTCAATCTCTACACCTCAATATTAGATTTTCTACCTATTCTGCAGTTAATAGCATGAATAAAATTCATTGCAACTCACAATGGGAGTAAATGCTTAAACAACTTAAAATTAAAAAAAACTGCAAGGGAGATTTTCTACTTAACATAATATCTTAAGAACATAAATTGAATTCACTCACTTAAAAAATTGTTTGATGTGACCACTTGCAGAACTCATTGCATATGTTTATTATATTCTGGGTCTGGCAATAGGTTTATTCTGTTTTTACAGTCAAGTTAATAATAATCTCTAGATCTGATGAATCTTCACAAGAATGAACTGAAAAGAATTAGTGTTAGAGAAAGCAAAAATAGCACAATGCATCATATAGGCTTCATGCTGAGCACATTTGTCAAGATGTGAAGCACGAGATACAAAATTAATAATTGTGAAAATCCCACTAAACAACCAATTGACATGAAGGAAACAAATTGGAACTTAGATAATGAAAATTTTGAACATGCATGGAGCATGCCGGCACAAAATGTGCTCAAATGCACCTTCAACGCAACCTGAGCTTGTCATTTCAAGCAACTCATACCAACCCTCTTACTTTGATCGTTCTGTGTTCAAACATATAATTCAAATTTTCTGACAACAAATTTGAACAAAAATTAGTTTAACAAAATCGAGAAAAATTTTCACCAAAACTTTGTTGCATTTTTTTATTACTGTTTTCTAATTCTTATAGCAAAATTGAATACACTACAAATCAATCAAAATTTTATAGTTTGTGAGTCAATTCACTCCAAATTGAAAATTGTCAAAAATTTCTGACTAAACGCAAAATAATTGTAACTGCACAAGAAAAGTGAACAATTTTTCAGTGCAGGCTGCAGAGCATTAACATAACTTCAGTGCTGTATACCTGTAGTGACTTCAATTTATATTTTAGAATATAAATGTTAAGTGCATTAGTCTCTCAGCTAAAACCTAAAACTCATTTAATACAGATTTCTCTAAAAACGTTACTCATGTTGATTTTTATCTATGTACCAAACTTTCCAAATGTTTACAAAAATGCGTTTATAAAAATATTAAAAATTCAATTTTCAGAAACCAATTATTACATTTTGATAATACCATTGTGATTCTTTAGTACCAAAACAATGATTAATTATTGGAATATATTGCAAACATAAAAATTGTGTTATTAGAATCAAGATTTTGAGTAAACTCTTGCTTATAACCATTAACTTAGCTGCTCCCACCCTCTAGTGTCTCTTATATTGGCAACCCCATATGAACTGGAGCAAGCTCAAGTCCCAGCTCTGCAATCAATCCCTCAATTAAATTCTAAAATTCATAAATCAGAAAACACCGTCCTCAAATGCAAAATTAGTCTTTCTATTTAAAAAGGTAGATAAGGCAAAATGTTTGAACACCTAGTCACCTACTTACTCTAGGGCAACTCTAGAATTCTTGTTATAATAATGTCTCAAAATTTTTCTTAATGTAAATACGTTCCAATGAAGTATTGCTGCATTACTTGTTTTCAAGTGCTGTAAAGTTCAGAATTATATAAAAGTTAAATTAAGTTCATAGTTAATAAGTTTAAGTAAATTTTCAAGGGACCTGAACCTTTATTTCATTTATTTTCCTTTCAGCTGACAGTAATGTTGAGTCCACCTCAAAATTCAAGTTCACTCAGAGTGTTCCCTATTTTATAGTTCAATTTCTCCTCCTTTAAACCTGAATTTCTCCTAAGTATAGTTTGTTGTAGCAGATAAATGCTGAACATGCGCATGTGGAAGCGTTTCTATTAAGGGGACCGACTACCCTAAAATTTTCAATTTTGGCGTTTTCCGATTTTTGTGCTCATCTTAAAGCTTACTTTTTGACGCATCCAACCGTACCAGAATCGTCATTCTACGTCGAAAAATGATTTCATAACAGCCTCCCGAAGGGAGGGAGTTTTTAGAGCCCTTAACTAAAGCCTATGGGATTAATTAGAAGGCTAGACACACTAAAATGGAATGTCTGGCGTAAAGCGGCCAATCATGGCATTATCCGGTGCTCATACTCATCTTAAAGCTTACTTTCTGACGATTCCATTGGTGGCAGAATCATCTGTGCTCATACTCATCTTAAAGCTTACTTTCTGACGATTCCATTGGTGGCAGAATCATCTTTCTACCTCCATTTTTACGTTCACCACGCCCCATGGAACGGGGGGCGGTGGGGGGCGCCTTAACAAATTCCTAAGGCATTAATTATGGGGCTTGACTTGATATACTGCCAGCCAGGTCTTTCAGTGCCCATCATGACAGCGAGGTGAAAGGTATGCAGCCACTTGCTCTATGCCTTCCTCACTTAGTTTTAAGGCTTGGTTGCGGTATGTTGGCTACGTTACGACTCTTTTACGTCATTTTACGTGCCGCCCAGCAGTTTTTTGGGCGTCCTGAAAACCTCCGATTGGTCACACGGCAAACCTATCTCCTCCTACAGTTTTCAAGCTACAGCAATGAGACACATACCATTCGACTTGCAAAGACCATACCTATTGAACTGAAGAGCATTTTTTTGAATTTCTGTCTGGTTCGTTTTTTATATGGGGGAGAGGGAAAAATGAGAAAAAATGAGAAAAATGGGATAAAATGCACATAAAAAAAACTAAGGGAAAATGAGAAAAATGCTCATCAAATCTATAGGTATGGTCCTTACAAACCGAATGATATGTGTCTCGATGTTGTAGGATGATATTTGTAGGAGGAGATAGATTTTCTAAAGTATCCCTTTTTAGCCATTTTCTATGAATTTCACGTTTTCTATCAATTTTTTCAAAAAATTCATAGAGGCAAAATGTTCTTATTTTTACATTTTACGTATGTATGTGAAGTTTCATGATGATCGGATAATAACTGTAGAAGTTTTTCCAGAGGGTAGTCGGTCCCCTTAAAATATAGGTAATGCTTACAAGCTTTCACACCTCAAATATTCTACAAACATTAGCACTGCCATAGAAAGAGAAAATAATTCTCTATTCTTATCATAGTAATCATTTGCAGTTATTGAAGGAAGGAAATAATTTATTCCCACCAACAGTGCACCAAAAAAATACTATTATATATAATATATTACAGATCAATCCTGCATGTTGACCAACTGCATGAGTAACAACACACAAAGTACAAAACTATCAGCCAAGAAATAAAGGTAAAGGACCAGTTTAAGCTTATTCTAGAGAATATAAATGATTATCTAGAATATTTGAGAATTAAGGTTATTCTCTAGAATAACTTTAATTATTATATAATTAATATTATATAATTAAGGTTATATTATTATATAATTAAGGTTATTATAGAGAACATGGAATGTGCAACAAGGCTGAAATAATATATGGAAAATGAGGGCACCAGTACAGATAAGATATTGAATACATATTTATTCGAGATATGTTTTGGTTATTACTAGTCATAACATGACATCTAAGTGGAGAGAAGATCTTTGTGTTGTGATACCCAAGTAATCCTGAGAAAATTTGTGAAATAATTTCATCATTAGATATAATTCCACCTTGTTAGCAGCCTAACATGTACTACCATGAAACTCGGGGCCTTGGAGCAGTTATAGCGCTTGCCTGTTTGCGATACAAAAATGGTAATGCACCTAGTATAATATAAAATATATTAGTTTATTGCATTTGTAGGTTATCTCATGGTACTTCTGAGCATATGGTTTTCTTTTCTTGAATGTCAAATAGTCCAAGCCACCCAATTTTATAGTATCCCTGATGAATTTCACACTGTGTGGGCCATGATCAGTGGCCCTGTGCCTAGGTTTGGTTGCAAAAATTGCGTGAAACAGGACACTTTCACCTGAAATTAAAGTAAAACGCAACTAATGGTGTATGTAATCTCTCCACAAAGAATTTTGACAAGAATCAGAAAAATCCAAAATGGGCTTTTCATGAACAATAGTGAGCCAATGCAAATTATTTAGTGCAAAGCTTATTGACAGGAGTCACAAATAGGGAAAGAATTTGTGAAAATTTCAAGCTATTTCCAAACTAACACTACATCATTAAAACCTATATCATCAACTTGTTCTGCTATCAACACTTTGTCAAATACCTTCACAGATTTTCAAAGAAAATTTAGAGACTTTTCAAGGAAACCTGTACCAAGAAAAACAAACATTTTCTGACAGTTTGCCACAAATTCCAGTGAAAACACAGGAATTTGTAGAGTAGAAGAAGCATGGTTTTTAAATCACTCAAATAGGTCTCTGACCCAAGAGGAGAATGTCATATTTTGTAATAATAAAATGATATGTGGCACAGGTAATCCAGAGTCCAGACTTGATTGGTTGAACTTATGTAGGACTCTACATTGATTCTGAAATGCTTACAGCCTCCACACGCCAGATGTCCAATAGTTTATCAAGGGTTTGCAGAATGTTTAGTTCAAACTTAAAAAACATTGAAAGTGTACTTTAAAATAACAATAATAATGCAACAAGGAACAAAATGGTATAATATACCATTAATTTATCTTGGGTGATCATTTTTTCATCCAGGCTTACCCATCATGGCCATGATGTTTTATGATCACAATAATATGATAAATTTTTAGCTCTTCCATTATTCTATCAAATTTATAATGCAATTAAAGACAGAGTGGAGCCAAGTTCCATCTGATATGGGGTTAAACTTTTTAATTTTTATTGATCAGGATTTTTAGTTAGAATAATTTGATACATTTATACAATGAAGAAAATACATGCTTCAGAGGCATGTATGCTTTGTCAGTCCTACGCCTATTTTTAAAACTCGCTCACAAAAATTGAAGACATGTGAGTGACAAAAAAGGCATAAATAATTTATTGATGAATTTACTAATGTCCATTGTGATCATACTAATGCTAAACAATGTCATATAGGTAATCATTTCATTGGCAGCTTGACATACCCCTCACCTAGTGAATGTTGTTATCAGTAAATAATAAATAGTTAAGCCCATACATCTAAGAAAAAGCATAAAAATTTCAGATCTCTAGAGCAATCAGAAGTGGGCTAATTTTTGTTGTCAATGTTAACAACAAACAAACAAACAAACAAACAAACGCAAAGCTAAGCTAAGAAAAACGTGTTAATTAACATATTTCTCCAGAACAATGGTAAAAATTTTTCATCACAATAATACTTGAGATAAAAAATTTACAAAATTTATCTCAATTAATACCAATTGAAATTGAAATCCTAGACTAGTATTCAAAATTTCAAACTATCTTATTTATGAGAAAGGATATACAGAGCCCATATACTTCCTA